CTTCTAATGTTTCGCTCTTATTATAAAGCATGTAGAGATACATATATCGTGAGTAATCATCTATAAAGGTGATAAAGTATTTCTGACCATATGTGTCCATGTCTGGACAACATATATCTGAATGTATGATTTCTAATACGGTTGAACTCCTCTTGGCACCTTTCTTGGACTTGTTGGTCTGCTTGCCTTTAATGCAGTTCGTACAAGTATCAAAATAGTAAAATTTAAAGTACTAAGTACTCCATCATTACTAATTTCTTAATTTTGTCGATGGAGATATATCCTAATCTCCGATGCCATAAGATAGAGGAATCTTCATTTATAACACATATTTTAGTGCCAGTTTTGTACATGCATAACAGTATGAGTGGAATCATTTTGTAAATTAAGAGAGAAAAGACCATCAGACAATGTACCATATTTAATAAGTTTAAATTTATAAAATCATTTGGAATCCCCTTCTAGAAAGAAGGAATATCTCAAGGTACAAGTCTTGATATTGAAATTAAATTCTTAGAAAAATTAGGAACATAAAAAGTCTTTTCCAACTCTAAAATAAAACCACTACTAAGAACTAAATTGTATGCCCCAATAACTTCCACATGTGACTGCATCTTGTTTCTAGAATAGATACTTCGCTTAGCTCCACTGGCTTCCACATGTTTCTTAAATCCTGCAAGGAATTCGTAATATGAATTGTAGAAGCAGAATCAATTCACCACGTGTATGATTGATATCAATCATATTAGCTTCATAATTAACAAACAAGAGAGATAGAAGTACCTTTCTTAACAAGCCAATGTTGAAACTTGACATAATCATGTCTTATGTGCCCCTTCTTTCTACAGAAGCGACACTTGGCTTCCTTTTTTATGTCAGCATCAAGTGGTGACTTTCCTTTAGACCTCTTGTTGGCTTGATTGGTCTTCTTTCCTTGAGTAGTCATGAATGCACTTTCTCCTGTTTCTATCAGTAGTCGACCTTCCTCTTGAACACACATGGTCATGAGTTAATTAATATACCATTTATCTTTATGTGTGTTATAAGAGATCTTAAAGGGACCATACTGTGCAGGTAGAGTATTCAGGATATAGTGCACAAGAAAAGTTTCAGACATTTCAACTTCAAGAATCTTTAGTTGAGCCGTTAAGTCTCGCATTTTCATAATGTGCTCACGCACATTTCTCACACTAGTGAGCCTCGTTGATGAGAATTTCATAATTAACGTGCTGGCAAGTGCCTTATCTAAAGTCTCAAACTGTTCGTCAATAGCTTTCAGTAATGCCTTGACATCGTTATGTTGTTCAACAGAACCACGAATACCATTAGAGTTTTTTGATCTTAATGGACATAACACTCAAACTGTTAGAGCGTTCCCATTGTTCATGAAGAAAAATCTCATCTTGAGTGTTGATTCATTGATAGGTGGATCGTCTTTCCTAATAGCATAATCAATATCCATACACCCTAAGTGAAGGAGAATTCTCTCCTTCCAAATCTTATAGTTCTCACCATTCAATTCGGGAATATCACAAATACCAGAGAAATTTGCATGTTACATAACTGCAAAAAATATACATACATACTTAACATAAATTTGAGACAAGTAATATAAAGTTGAATCTACTGACATAAAAATTTCCTGTGGGCTAAATTTTTAATTCAATTAGATTCATATTTATGATAAAATTATCAATTTAATAGCATGATATTCTATCTTTATGACAAAACTATTAAACTCTCATTCATAATTCTTGTGGATAATTATGAAAAGTATTTAATATTTCATCTTAATTATTTATGCAACTCAATAGTAAAGAAGTTAAGTTATCATATTATGCATAATTAATTACAATTCTAATGTCTGAAAAATTCTTTATGTGATGCTTTAACTTCTAAAGTTTTATTCAATTAAAGATGCTTTGGCTGAACTTTAATCAAATAAATTCGAGATCACTTAGACATTTATTTCTTTAAGTGATCCAAAATATAATATAAAATACCATTTCATTAAGATAGTTATGGCTAAATCTCAATCAAATAAAATTATATGTGTAACGGCCCATTTGTTCAATTTGAGCAATAGAGCATTTTATTTCATAAAATAATTTTCGATAGATTCTAAATGGGTATTTTTGACTATTTGTAATTATAATTATAAAAATAATGGGATGGTTTTAATAATTTATGTAGTTGATGGCTAAAGAAGATAACATTATAATTAATATGGGGTTCCTTTTACCACTTTTATAATTAGTCATATAATAATTAGGGTAACAATAATCAATAGAGAAAAAAGAAAAAAGCAAAAAAGGAGGCGGAACTTGCATGTGAAGATGAACGCCAGAGAAAGAAAAACATTGTGCTTAAATTTCAGGCAGGAGATGTAAATATATACCACTCCATTTTAAGTAGTTATTCTATGATAGATAATCATAACTTATTATTTTTATATGTTTTGTTGGGAAAAGGGTTGGTTTTCAAATTGTTATAGTATTGATTTTATAAATTCTGGGTAGTATTACTTTGTTAGTTAGAATCGACAACAACTAGTGGATAGTAGGGGATAAGTATGTTCATGATAGGTGATAATAATGTGATAGAGAGGGGATGTTACTTATTAATAACATATTATAGATAGATTCTCATGTAACATTCTGCAAAAAAAAAAGGAAAAAGGAAAATTCACAAATGAATGAAATTGGTTTGTAATTTGATTCCAAGTTTGGATTTTTCCTTATTATTATCGCACTTCATATTGATATATTAATATATGTATAAGTGAAGGTTAGGTTATTATAACTTATGAATACCATTTGAATATTAGATTAACCTTAGGCATGAAATTTAGAAGCTTGACTATATTAGGATGAGTTTTGGACCTGGGTTAGATTTATAGTAATATGGGTGTTTATGGATTCACTTGCTTATGAGTATTGCATATTTGGTAGATTGGAAACATTATGAAGCTTTACGAAAGGGAAAAATCAAATCTTGAGGATTTCAACACGTGTTCGACATTCCAGGTAACTCAGGAAGCTCAACATATAAAAAAGTTGATACAACATTATATTGATTCTTTAATGAAAGTTGAAGATAAGATTGAAAACGTTCGGAGACATTGAGGAAAACAAAAGTATTGGAGTAGTAGCTTGCTTGACTTCGGTTCTTCGGTGGAGGTAGGTTATGGTTTATGGTATTTGATAGTAAACTCTTAATAGTGACTGATATGCATCGAATGATATTGTGAAGTTTTCTATGTACTTGATTGTGTGATTGTGTGGCTTGGTCATGTGTTTTTTTGTGATTGGTCTGAAATCCCGAGACCGTGGCATGTATAATCTTAAACCATCTCTATTGAAGTGATGCCTTGAATAAAGAAGGCTCAATGAAATATTATTAACGAATGGAAGAGTGGTGATATTAAATGATAAATTAATGATATTTTTGGATCGGAATGTCACGTTTCGACACAGTATTTTTGGATCGGAGTGTCACGTTCCGACACGATATTCTTGGATCAAAGTGTCACATTCCGACACATTATTTTTGGATCGGAGTGTCACGTTCCGACACGATAATATTAAAGGAAAAACATGTTGAATTAATGGAAAGTACTCAATCTCAAAGAACTCAACTCCCAAAATGGTCTGGTTTGGCGGCATGAGTCCTCATGTGTGATCTTGATATCATTGACTTATAACGAGCTTACTTTAATGTTGTTGACACTTGTTCATGTTTTTTGTTGTTTATCACCTGTTAAGTGTTATGGTTAAGTTCATGCTATTATTTGTTGTATATTAGTTCCTATTTTGGGTTGGCCGATGATACCTACTCAGTACATGTTGCCCCCGTACTGAGTCCTACTTGTGTTTTTATTTGTTTTCCTTTTATGAAATGCAGCGAGTGTACCTATGACTTCAGATTTCCCTCAGCTCTAGCCAGCCTCCCGCACATCAAGTTCCAGGGTGATCTATTTATTCAAGCTCGTATTGGATTCTTTCGGTCATGACATGATGTCCTATACTTTCGGACACATACCATTTTATTCTTTTCTTTTAGTGTATTTGATATTCTTAGACTTAGTATTGGAGATTAGATGTCCTTGATGTGATGACTTGTAGGTTTTGGGAAATGATATTTAGTAAGATTTTGAGTTTCCATGTTATCTATGTATTTTGTAAGTTATGTTAAATTGGTTGGTTCGCCCACTTAGGAGGTTAAGTGTGGGTGCCACTCACAACTCGTTTTGGATCGTGACAATATGAATCACTAAATATTAACTCAAAATCATATACAAGATTTATTGTTGAACATTATGCGACAAAACAACAATCTCTTTGTTTTTATTATTAGAAAATATTTTCAAAAAATTTCAAAACAAGATTTGAATTTTTAAAAACAATTTTGAGTGATTTTAGAGAATTCCGACAATTAACAAAGCAGAGGAAATTCAGCGGCTCTGATGCCAAATGTAAGATATGGAAAAGCAATGATGCAGCGAAAATATAGAGTGATCGAGATACCTCCAGCTATTGTTAGCGATATAGTCGGAGTCTACAATTCTTCTTTTCTTCAAAGATCTTCTAAGCACTCAAAACCTCACTCTTAGATGGTATGGAGTTTTAGAAGTAATGTGCTTAGGTACCTTTGAATCAAATTTCATATTTATAATCGTGCTTCTATCAAAAACGGTTAAGAGGTTATGGAAAGTTACTAACCACTAGAGTAGTACGATAGTGAATTCATGTAGTGTTATAATGGATAGGTAACTTATATCCCATTAGTGGGATAATGGATAGTTAACTACCTTCCCATTAGTGGGATAATGGGTAGTTAACTATCTTCCCATTTATTGGGATAATGGGTCCATGAAGTGGGATAATAGACCCATCTAATACGGACCATATCAGCATTAACAAAAATGCTAACAATATATATACACACATTACACAGAGCATGAAAGAAGATTATGAGGTCGACATAAAAAGTATAGATTATCTCACAAAAACAAGACCACCTCAAGGGATTTCTTAGAGAATCTGGTTCACATGACTCACAAGTATACATCCCACCTCAAATGTATGGAAACTAAAATTATAACTTTAAAGAGTAAATTCAATATAAGAATTTATAGGAATTATTCATTTCTGTCGTTCATAGGTTACAAGCATACAATTGTACGTGTATTGGAAAATTGCAACAAGCTCATAAAGTTCCATTATCCTTGTCGAAGAATAGAACAAAACACTGCTTCATTGTATCCTCCGGGCTAGTAACTAGAATAAAAGAGAGAAAGTAGTAGGTAATGTGATTCCTCAAGTAATAAAGCAAGAGAATGATTTATTCAAACATAAAAGAATAAAATTTTGGACGGACTTGTGTGACCAACAGTTCTCTTAGACTCGTAAATCTCATGGTCATTTCCTCCCTGTTCACATAAAAAGTAGGACTTGTATATTAGCCCGGACATATAAAGAAAGATTCAAGCACATCAGTAATGAAAAATTACCTTGTATGTTTTGTCACCAAAAAAGTGAATTTCATTAAATTCTTCAAGGTATCTCAAACAATAAGTCTTGTCCCAGCCTTGGGGGAAAACCTGTCATGACCAACATCCTCAAATCATCTACCTAAAACGTTCAACGATCAATGAGCACAAGAAAAAACTTAAAGGAGCTCACATCAAAACTTATTTGGCCTCCAATGGAGAAGGTAAGATTAAGGTGTGCAAACTTTCCCCTAAGCACTGATATCATTGTTTCGCGTATCTTTTGTACCTGAATATAGTTTAGAAATTGATGTTAAATCAACAAGAAAAATGATTCTACTGGAGGTACATTACTGCAATACTGGAGAAGTTGTGTATACCTTGTCATACTTCACAAATTCTTCCCTCTCTTCCTGACTACAGTTTCCCCCAATAGGCGACACATTTAGCATGCCACTTCTGAACTCAATGAATGTTCCTCTGCAAAGGAAAATGATTAAGAATTTTGACACAAAGAGGCAATTAAGCGGATAATTCAACTGTTAATCTATGTTGCTTCAACCCTTCAAAAATATTGCGGGGTATTACACAGATGCAGCGACATTTTTGGAGGATCCAAGCAATAGTGTTTGACATGCCCACCTTTTTATTGGAATATCCAAGTCAGCAATATAACAAAGGGTGAAGTTGATAAATTCCTGCATATCATTTGCATACCATCAAGTCGTCAAGATACGTATGCAACAAACATACAAAAGCGTCTCTATAGTTTTCAGATTTTGATTAATTATCATAATATACATTACGCTGAGAACTTAACAAATATAGAGTCAAGACAGTTTCTCGAAAATAGCATTGACTAACCTTGAGCTTCTCATCTCCGAGAAATGACTTCATGCTCTGCACACACAAGGAGTCATGTCATTTCAAAAGAAATCACCTTCCTAATTAGCCATGCACTGCACTTTGTACCTCGATTGGGTACAAAGTGCTTATGTTGTGGCAATAAATTCAAGTTTGAATGATAAAGACAGTAATCAAAGATTTGTTATTTGAAAAAATGAACCTGCACTCATAAGCAAAATTAAAGATATAAGATGTCAAATTTTGGCCATTACCTGTTTTCCTATAAGCTTGCCATCCTTATGTGCTACAAGTCCATTTTCAGAGAATACGTAATCATAATCATTCATAACTGCATCACAAATATTAGAAATATATACATTTATAAAGAGTGTTAAACTTTTACCAAGATTAGTTAATTGCTATTGAATCTAATGTAGCTATAGGCTTTAGGGACATTTACAGAGAATTGTTAATTACCTCTAAAAAATGTATATCTAGCGAAAATTAAGCTAACCTGAACTGCCAAGCTGTTCTGATATCTTCACAAGATCAGAACCTCCAACAACTCCAATTGTAACAACCTGAAGAGGGGACAAAATTGTTAAGCCCGAGATTTGTTGACAGAGAAGCAGAGTATGGCAAAAGAATCATTTACCTTTCTAAGTTCTCGCATGAATTTCAACATTTCTGGAGTGCATTCCTGAACATTTCGATTATGCGATATGAAATCATGATATAAAATATCATAATATGAAAATCGCATATTCAGACGCTGATTTCATAATACTATACCTTCCTGGGTGCTGTTAGAGTTCCATCAACATCGAACAGAGCAATTAAACCAGCTTTCCTTGCACGCATTTTGATCTCTCAATACTTCTCACCACCTCTCCCTTCACCAAAAATAACTTTTAGTGACTATAAATATTGGCATTAATAAAAAGTGCTAAAGTTTTTACGATCATTAGTTAAATGTTATTAGAAATCAATGTTGCTAAAGATCTTAGGAACATATACAAAGAGTGTTAATTGCCGTTAAAAATATATATTTAACGATAATTAAGACTAAATAGTCATTAATGATATTTTTTATGTAGTGATTTGACAGCAAAAAATTGCTTTTATTAGCTTTACAATTCTCAAAACCAAAATATAATTAACCAATACAATCATTAAATAATTAGAAACACTTGAGGGTTGTTTGGTTGGTAGCTGATTTGAAGATAAGTTATTCTGATATAAAAGTAATTCAATGTTTGATATGTAATTTAGAAACCTATGTAACTAATATATGAATAAGTTATGAAAAAAAAATATATGTACATATTTTATACAAAATAAAATATGAAATTATTATTATTGTATACAATGAGTAATAATTAATTTAACATATAATTTTCTCAAAACTAATTCCTACATTACTATTATACATGTCTAACTCTAAACAACTATCAAATTAAGATTCACAATCAAATCTTTAAAATTATTACTCCCTCTGTCTCAATTTATGTGATGCATATTATTTTTCGAGAGTCAAACAACTTAAGTTTACGGTGATTTTCAAATGAGATCTTCAATACTTTTGAAATGAAATTTTATATATTTGTAAACTACGCTAAAAAATATTATAAATCACAATATTTAACAATTCAAAATATTTAAATGATATATAAAAACTTACCGTTAAAGATGGATTTGTGTGAATTTTGCAATTCAAGATGTGTCACGTAAATTGAAACGAGAGGGAAGTTAATTTGGCGGATGAATAGATTTATAGTTGGGATGTCGAGAGGGATATTTTGGACTTTTCACTCAAAGGCTGCCAAGTGGATATTTAGATTTATGTCTTTTACGTGCTTTCTCCAACAAGTAGTCAATTAGATTCTGCCAAATCATTCCTTTTTGTCATACTGATGATAATAAGTTGCCAATTAGGACTTTACACCAAATTTGTTGAATAAAATATGGTTGATTGGAGTACCAAGTTTATAGGTCACAATTATAATTTCGAGAGTAATCGAAATTTTTATCTACACCAAATTTTTATGTAGTATTTTTAAAATATTTTAAGTTTTTGCCTCTTTGATCAAATTTTAGAAGTTTAAATCTAAAAATTTTATATGTGCCTCATAAATTTTTAGGATAGATTGTATATTTTGATCTCCTATTATTAGTTAATTAGTGCTCCTTCATTTTAAAATAAGTGATATTTTTTTTATTTTTTTTCAAAATAAGTATTGTATTACGTAATTAAGAAAGGATTAATTTTTTCCTTCCAAAATTACCTTTATTTTAGAGTATGGGATAATTTTACTCCATAAAAATGCTTCACGGCATTTAATTATGGGGAAGACATATAGTAAAACATTTCTGCCTTTTTAACAATGAGTAGTTTTGTTATCGGTGTATTCAAGCTAAAAATATCATTTATTTTAAAATGAAAGGAGTGTATTTTTAATATATTTCTTCATCAGTGTATTCAAGCTAAAAATATCATTTATTTTAAAATGAAAGGAGTGTATTTTTAATATATTTCTTCACTTTATTTAAAGACATAATACATTAATTCGCTCATTAATTTGATTTAATTTTATATTTATGCCTTTAAATTTTAGATGTGCACAAATAGACACCAACTTTGTATGAAATTGAACAAACAGACACAAAAGTCCTACATGAAAATTTGTGTCCTACGTGCACTGTGTCATGTAGGACTTGTATGTCTATTTATTTAACTTTATACAAGTTTAAGTGTCTATTTATGTATACTTAAAGTTGAAGACATAAATATAAAATGAAGTTAGGTTAAAGGACATAGTTATGTATTATGTCTTATTTAAAAATCATTGTTTGATCATGAAAGTTCTAGCACTATCTTGAAGTTGTATTTCAAATTTGGAACATAATTGTAAAGCTTGATTTTTAAATTCATTCATCACTTCAAAATAAATTTTAACATCATTCAAGTATTTCAAATATTCTTTAAAAAAGTTAACTTCAAAATGAATTTTAACATCATTCAAGTATTTCAATTATTCTTTAAAAAAGTTAACTAAATATAACTTTATAAATTTCAAATAAAATAAAAAAATATTTAAAATATATGATCAAACACCTGAAAATCATGCTTAGTTGTGTCATTTTAACAAAAAAATCTCTTATTTGAATAATTATTTACTTCCCAATGATTTTCTTTTAGATTCAAATTCATACCACATGTGGTCTTTAAAGGAGGACAAATAAAATCAAATTTATACTGCTTGTGGTCATTAAAGGAGAACCCTATGAGACTATTATTAATTATTTTTACTTATTATCTTTTTTCATCTCATCACAATGGTCAATAATAATTGTTCGCTGTGTCATGACACTTTTTGTTTTTGTCTTAAGAGATGTTTTGAGTTTGAATAAAAAAAGAGTAGTCTTTTGATCTAAAGCTTTTGTTTTTAAAATAAGATTTTTCAACATAATTTAGTTAATAAAATCTGAAAATTAATATCAAACATTGAAAAAGACAATAAGATTTGAAATAAATAAATAATTATTTTATTTATTTTCACTTTAGTTGAAACATTCTTATAGTTTGATCAAAATATGATCATATTAACCATAGGAAAATGTCCTAAGCCAAAACATAACAAATTTGGACCTTATGTGTCAATTTGAAATACTACAAAACTCCCTATTCTTGCGCTTGAGTTACCTTTCAAGATAACTTTAAACCAAGTATGGTATTAATTAAGGGAATTTACATTAGAGTAAATTATTAAATTAAAATTTAATAGTATAGTTGTAGTTTCATTTAATTCTAATTTGTTGGAAACACATTGCCATTTGCCTCTCTTCCCTAAATCTTGCACATTACTCTATGGCTCGTCTCTCTCACTTTATACGAACAAAAATGCATAAATTGTTTTTGTTTTGTATTAAAAACGAGAGCGAGTTGTATATACAAATACAAATATAAATACATATCTCTTCGTTCTATACACTTAAAATTATACAAATACAAATCTTCTCCTGCCCAATTCTCCTTTGGCTTTCTCTCTATCTCGCTTTATAAAAATATAAATTATACAACTACAACTTACAATGTATAATGTGTTTGTATAAAGCAAGATAGAGAGAGATACAAATATTTTAACTCAATTCAATTTTATACAAATTTCTATTTCATGCAAAAATACAAACAAAATCATTGATACATATACAAACACAAAGAAGAAGAAGTCATCTTCTTCAAAGTCTTCAGCTCCGCGTTACCTCCCCACCCAACCTCCCAATTAAATTTCTTCTTTGGATCCACCCACCATTTTCATACTCCTCTTTTTACAAATAGAGTCAAGTACAAGGGTTTTCCGGGTTATTCCGCCCTCTTTTTTCCATTTATATTAGTATAATTAAAGTTTTAAGAAGAAAGTGTATTGTGTGTGTATATTGTATTTTTTTCTATTTATTTTGTATTTTTTCTCTATTAAACTTCTTTAATCAATTTAATATAGAATATATGTTGTGTAACACACATGTTTGAAATCTAGTAATAGTATAAGTAGAGGGTATGATTTTTTTGGAAAACAATTGACTCGGATTAACTCTCTCTGCACTGAGACAAAAAAGAATACATGGGAGAACATGTGTGGGTAGATGATTCACAAGCAAAGAAAGTAGTTATGCTTCTAAGTTGGTGTATGCAAAGACCAAACAATAACACATCTAGGTTAAGATCCATAAAAGTTCAATGATAAAAAGATCAAACAAAACACGGCTTATGCAATTTATCCAAAATTATATTAAGTTGATTTCAAATCGATAAAAATATTTCTATTAGAACCACATGACTCGAGGCCCAGTGTGTATCTTATATATTTATCTTCAGTCAACAAAACCCCTTTCTTGACGTTTGTTTTTCTAGATCAAAAATAAAGAATTCATGTTTCTAATTATGGATTGAAAATGTGACTTGTAACACAATAACTCAATTCTAAGTGAGATTCTGAATAAACAAAATAACTTTTATCAATACATCACTTTTATTGGAAAATCCTTTTGTTTTTTCTTAAATAAAAGGCGCACTCCTAAATAAAAGAAGGGTGTGACAACTTGGTCTTTTAAGACTAATAAAAAGTACAACTACAAGTTTATTGAGGTCTTACCCAACTATGATGATTATATTGGTGTTCATGTTCTATATTTAGGTAAAGAACAAAGCTTCACTTGCATTTTTCATCAAGTAGAAACAAAACAAGGGAGAGAGACTCGTTTGATAAGGATAATATGAATTTAGAGGAGTGATATTCTTAATTGATCCTTTTAACTAGACCTTGCTTTTTTAACTACGATCAAATCTAAATGATCCTTAAGGAACATTATTCCTCTCAATACCTATTATCTTAAAAGAAAATTTTTATGACAAAATCTAACAATATTTAAAAGACCTCAATAAACTCATAGTTGTACTTTTTCTTACTCCCAAAATGGAGCTATCACAATCTATTTTCCCCTTCACAATGCAGCTTTTATTTAAGGGAAATAAGAGTTTTTTTTTAATAGAAGTTATAATATTGAAAAGGTATTATTTTATTATTTAGAATCATCACTTAAAATTGAATGATGGTGTTTCAAGTCACTATTTTAATTCCTAATCAATATAATTTCACTATGTAATTTTGGTCTATAGAAATAAAAGAGCGCATGAGAAATTTGTAAGCTGAGGAAAAGATATAAGCCATCTCTTGAGTCATATGGTTCTAGCATTGTCATTTTTGTAAACTTCTACTCAACTTATTAATTCTCAAACCTAGATTCATTACTATGTTTTTCATTTTGACAGATACCATTTAGAAGTATAACTCTTTTCATCTCTCCTGTGTATCACATCAAATAAGCTCTATCTACACTTCTTGATTTGAGTTGATGAAAATTAATTATTAGAACATATTGACCAAGGAGCGTGATCACATACTGAAATTTCTTCTAAGTATCTAAAAATGTGTAACCGCATTTCGAATAAAAAATATAGAAAATACATAAAGTTTCCATTAAATTAGTACCTATTTAAAAAAAATATAAATTTTACGGTGATCCTATGACCCTCCCTTTTCCCCACTTGCTTCTTCCCTTTTCCTAATCCTCTCCACCACAAATTAAAAAAGAAAAGAAAACTTCGTAGACGATTAAGTAAAACGGGTGTCATTGTTATGAAATCTAATTTATTATTTCAAGTTCACATCAATTAAAGTTATGTTGGATGGACCATAGAAGTGGAGGGAAAATATCTTTTGTCTTCATAAAAGTTTTGTTTCACCAGATAAAATGGTGAATAGCAATTCTCTTTATTTTCACTTTGACTTTTATCATCTTTTTATCATAATAATTTTAAAAAATTAAACATCAATGACGAAATTCATTATCAACGCAACCCAAAAAGCATATCTTAGTCATCGAAAAATATTTTTCACCTAAAAAATGATCAAAAGTAATTATCTCCCTCTTTATTTTTCTTGTCATTTTTATCACCTTCTCTCATCAATCCTATTTGAAAAAAATCGAACACAACGATGAAAATAACTAGCAACGTCATCGAAGAAGATCGAAGAAACACATAATCAAATAGAGGATAAAATTTGAAAAATAATAAAAAATTTCTTAGTTCAACTGAGCTACACTTTCGATGTGAGATGGTCATAAATGGTATATTCATACCAATATAAAATTATTTAGTTTTTTTAAAAAATAGGTACTAATTTAATGAGGATTTTCTGTATTTTGTACTAATTCAAAAATGCAAAG